CACAAAAACTCCAATGGGGAGTGGAAATTGGGCATCCACCCGCTGGAATCGTGCTTGTTTCCACACCAACCTTAGGATCAAGGACTTTTCCATGCAGGTCAAGTACCCTCAGTATCTATCCGAGTACGTGGATGAGCATTACTGTTATTCTACAAGGCTCTTCAGGGACACCTACATGTCAGAGCCGCACTTTTACTTTGGAGGACCTGGCCAGAATCCTCAGTGTCCTTAATCTCATGTGTTGATGTTTTAAAATGTTCATTCTCTTTTTGTTGTGATTTTAAATATTTTACTAAAATAAAAACTTGTAAGGTTTCTGTTTGGCTTCTTCTTGTATGTTTAACTAAATTTTAAAGTGTTTAATTAAAATAGCTTTGTAAGCTCGATAAATTGTGTAGCGGGAATATATAAAGATATGAAATGACAAACATATAATCTAATCTTTTCCTTGAACCAAGATTAAAAGATGGTTAAAACAAGCCGCTTTGAGAATGTTGTAAACTTGAACGATTCTATGTTTCTTGTACAGTGGAGTCTACGGAACAGCTTCCCTAGAGACTGATTAAAAATTACAGGCTCTTGTAAGAAGCCTGCATTGAAGACGATCAAAGTATGATTTGCTAATTTTATACTGTGTATCTTCTTTTTTGATATCTCAAAATCGATTGTTTATTATTTATAAAGCGAAGATGGAGATATTATTATCTATAACAACCTGCTTTGATCATCCCGCCTAAAGAAATCACAAGATTCAGGTAAACAAACTCTAGTCACGTGCGTCATTTGGTTCATGCACAAATCAAATACACAAAAAAAAACTCTATAAGTAGTTGTTTCTTTACTCGTTCAACATTTATGTATGCAGTATGCAGAAGAAACCCAGTATGGAACTTGGTCCAAAGGAGACTAAAAGCTGTTCGATGTCCAGTAGGGAGTAGGGGCAATACCGAGGACGGTTGCTACATTTTTTTTTTTTTTTTGCCAAAATGTGAATATCATATAAATATGAGAAGGGTTTGTAAACTTACAAAAAGGGGGGAAACTAAGAAAGGTTAGCTTTGGCAAAAAATAAACAAGACCAAGCTAACAGCAAAATTTCAAGTAGAATTTCCAGAAAACGAACTCATGACCTACTCATGTCTGAGTCATTCTTGCATTAGGTGCTGAAACAGAGCAGACCTCCCTCTCCTTCCAAGGAGTGCATCCCTGATGACACGGTCTATCTTCTTGAAGATGGAGAGTGGCGTTTGGGAGACATTGTCATGGAGCCTCTTGTTCCTTTCAGTCCAGATATTGGATATGGTGGCTTGGGCAGCAGCCCGTTTGAGAGTTAAACTCACCACTGAGTCCAAAAGCCCCAATCATTCAGAGAACGCAGACCATGTGTGGAATCCCCAAAGAGTGTATCCTAGTCTGCGAAGCACATGATTCCATATAGTTTGGCTAAACTCACAGCGAAAAAATAAGTGGTCTCTAGACTCCGTTTCCGAACTACAAAGATAGCAGAGTGGAGAGATGTTCATTCCCCATTCTACCAGTCTAGCTCTGGTTGGAAGGCGATCTTGGTGTGCAACCCAGGTAGTGAAAGCATGGCGAGAGATATGACCTCTGAACCAGATGTTTTGAGTCCAGCGCTGTTTAGAGGCCCTGTGACGGACTTGGCTCTAGGTTTTAGGTGTGGAGAACTTCTGCATCTCGTTCCCACCCACTTCCCACACATAAGAATCATCCGTAGCACTCAATGAGGGAAGTGGAATGGTGGTGAGATACAGTTGTAACTCCTCAGCAGCCTGGGACCGTGCCCCCCTGAGAAGCCAGCCTTCGGTGGTGCAAGCCTGTGAGACAGAAGCATTAGCAGAGACCTGCAAATCTCTAGGGCCAAGAACTCCAAAGCGGTCAATGAGGGGACCAAGAGGGGACCAGCGATCATACCAAAAGCTAATCTGCTTACCATTGCCGAGCTTTGCCTTGAGAAACGGTTGCTACATTATAAGCTTATAAAAATCTGAAAATTTATAATAAGAATGATCAAACACCAAGGACGACTTCAATTTTACTGAGCAAAATCCCAATACAAAAGAGACGAGTATATAATCGTTGATGATTAACTAACGTATAAATGACGAATTTTAATGTCGGATATTACACACACACGTAATATGCAAAGAATAAATAAAATCCATTTGGAATATGACAGTTCTGTGTTTAACGAATTTTTTTTTGAAAATCAAAATAATAGAGAGAAAATGTGGAAAAAAAATGATAGACGTAAATAAAAAAAAACAAATTACGTGAAAATCATCCCGCAGATCTAATTAGACATTTTTAATTAAGGCATTATTACGAATTTTGAATTTAAAATATTTTAATTGAATATGAGCTAATTATCATTTTTAAGGAAAAAATTAAACTAATTAATTAACATACTTAAATAAAATCAAAATTCAGTCGGGAAGTATCTATACTATTAAAAGTGAAGACACCCTTGAAAAATCGACCGATAGAAGTAGTGTGCACCCTCATTAATGGCATTTTGGTAATTTGTTTTTTGGTCTTACATCTATATATATATCAATTGTTACAAATCATATCACATATTAAATATGCCCGATTTATTCTCTCTCTTCCCGTTAATTACTCTAACCATATTCCATATTATATTTCATATATTTATATTGTCTTATAAATTTTATATTACAGTTTTAATCTATAGATTGACTACATAAATATTTATTATAATATAAATTAATTATATGGTGTTCAGATGCTCTCATACTTATAAATTTTTACATATTTATAAAATAAATTGTAATAAATTGTAATTTTAAATCATAATATATAATTCAATATACTGTATAATAAAATCAACAAAAAAATAATATTGTTTTTATCAATAAAAATATACTAAATTATATTTTAATATAGTAATTTAGATATTATATTAAATATAATTTTTTATTATTTTAATATATACTTTAATATTTTACATTAATAAATTGAAGTATGTTGTAAACTCTATGAATATATGTTGTCATGAATATGTAATTCTTTTAATTTATAGTTATAAAATAATTTTAATTAAGTTATTATATATATATATTATTTATTGTAGTAATTTAATTATGAATATGAATAATGTATTTATAAATATTATAGTAATGATATTTCTTATTTAATAAATCCAAATGAATTAAAATTAATTGTAATAATATTTAAAAGTACATTCTATTATTTACAATAAATATTAAAACATTAATATTTATATTTTACTGAAAAAGATATTAAAAGATATTGTCAAAATGCAATATTAGAAAAGATTTTGGTAATATCTTTGATATCTGATTTTTAAAATATTTAAATAATATATTAAGATTGTTATTGAATAATAACTAAATTTGTTATATGCAAGATAATTTCAAATATTTTTGTATTAACTTTTCTTCATATGACGATATATCATCATTCTCATGGTGACATTTAATGGATGAAATACTTTTTGTTAAGAAAATATTGTAAAAACTATTTTCTATAATTATCTTCGTACTAAAATAAATGAATTGCTTCATCTACAAGTTTATAAATTAACCACAATTAATATCGTGGTTAGTTATTCTTTGTTTGGTTTCCATAAATTTTGGTAACTTACCGTAGTTGTATTACCGTTAACTGTTAAACTTTAAACTTCTTAACTAATTCAAAATATCTTCAAGAATTATTCCTTATTCCTCGAAAGAGATATTTTTTAAAATCGTCTAAATATTCTTTCCTACATTTGCGTAAACTAAATGTATATCGTCCCCACCTATTATAAATATAGTTTCTTTTAACCACTATATTCATCATTCATTGAAAAACTTAAAACAAAAATGGCGAATAATTTGCAGTTGTCGTGATATACAACCGAGGAAGACTGCATGTCGGATCCAAGTCAAAATCTTACATACATGGAGACATTTCATGAAAGACATAGGGGAGACCATGGAACTAATCATTTGTGATGCAAATGTAAGTTTATCGTTTTGTATAGATTTATGATTTAGATATCTTCATTTTGTAAAAGTGTAAGCTAAATGATAATGTTTTCTAAGTGCGGGTCAAAACCTAAATGATAATATTCTTCCTTATATTTATGGAACAATTCTTCTGTTTTTAAAACTATATTATTTTGAATCATAAATGTTAATAATTTTCTTATTGGTCAGTTTTCTCCCATTTTTATAACTTATCTCCATTGTTGTATCTATCTAGCACGAGTATATTTTTATCTAGATGTTATTGGACAAGTTCAAGACTTGGGTAATCTGGAAACCATAGGGTGTAGTGGTGGGAAACAAAAGAATAAGTTGGAGTTCAGTCTCGTGGAAACCATAATTTTTTTTTAATGGTTAATAGTATAAAGTTAGTCTCCCTACCTATTATAAATTTCTCAAGCGCGGGTCAAAACAAAATTGCCGAAACATAAATAAACTATATAATTCGATTAACATATTTATTGGATTTAACTACAAATTTGTAATACAATTTTGGTTATTTTTAATAGTATTGATTTTTCAAGTTTGTTATAGCTCATGGACCTATCCAATTTTGGTTTCAATCTAATATGTGTTTTAATTCTTCAAAACTCTCATAACACTTAATTTTCTGTTCAACCACAAACTGACTTGGTTATGCAAACTAAATGAAAAGGCCCTACTAAAACGTTAAATATACATCATATTTCGCATATACAATTATCATATAATAGAAATCGGATCATTTATACATTTTGTTACAACCAAAACAAAATCCGCGCTTCTCAAACGCGGGTCAAAATCTAGTATAATTACTCAAAATCCTCTTTAAGAGTGGTAATTTCTGATAATAATAAAAAGTATCAGCCCAGAATAAGTATTAACTAGAAAAGGTAGATGTTTTATGTAAATATCAATTACTACATAAAACAAAACTATTGGCGTTTTTTTTTTTTTTTGCTTAAACACAAAACTATTGGCGTTACAAATGTTTTGTCGAAAAGCAAAACAAAAGCAAATCGTGACCCGTCTCCTCAAAAACCGAACAACATCTAATTGAAAACCTGTCTGAAATGGTTAACAAGAATCAGCAGAACCTCTTCCTCGTCGGATCTCCCTACGAGATCGATAAGATCAAACGAGCCGAAACCTCCCAACAAGGTCTTCTTCTTCCTCTTTCTTGTCTTAAAATTCCTTAAAAAATCGCATTTATACTGAAAATTTGATTTTTGGATATTTTTATGATGTAGCCGGAGCTATTGCCGGAGCTAAAGCCGCCGCCGTTGCTGCCGTGGCTAGTGCGATTCCAACGGTAATCTATTTTCTCATCTGGCTCATATCAGATCGTTATAATTGAATTGTCTCATCTCTCTAGTGATTTTAATTAGTTTATAGATTGTTTACTATAATCTTTATGTTATGCATTGAGTTTTTGATTCGTAAAGTTACATTCTTTATAATATATATGAATAATTGAAACATAAAGGCTTCGCCTTTGTTAAACAGTTAGCTGCGGTTCGTGTGTTCCCATGGGCTAAGGCTAACCTCAACTACACTGCTCAAGCTCTCATTGTATCTTCAGGTTAGTTCTTTATGTTTTGATCATTATTACTCTTCCAAGTAGAACAAAAAGATACAAGCTTGAGCATGAATGTGTGTTTTCTTCTGATTCTTGACTTATGAAAGTTTTGATTTTTTTTTTGTGAAAATGGGTGATGATTGGAAACAGCATCGATTGCTGCGTTCTTTATAACTGCGGATAAAACTATTCTACAAGGTGCAAGGAGAAACACTGAGGCTCAGTTGAAGAAAGCTCAGCAAGAATCTAAGTAAATTTTCTTTTTTCATCATCATCATGTAAACTCAATCTGTGACACACATCTTTCTGGCTTCTCTGTATGCATTTTGTTTTGATTCAGAATAAAGAGATGTAACAAGTTTTTAAAGACCATTTTCATTCACTTATTCTCAGCATGAAGACTTGTCTTGTTTAGTTGGATAATACTCCTTTCCTTCCACTATGATTAGATGTTTTAGAAAGAAAATTTGTTTAACAGAACTTATTTTTTTTAGAAAAATTGATGTAGAATTTATATATTTCAATAAAATAATTGAGTTTATTGGATTACTATTGGTTATAAGTTATTGGAAATTGATAATTCTAATCTCTTAAAATACTGAGTTTATGTGTGGTTTTTTTAGTATATACCTATGTAAAATACTAAAACATCTCTATATTTAAGGAATGGATGAAGTTTTTTTCTTTTTTTTTGGTCAAAGGATGGAGTAAACTTAAGGTTTTTATTTTGCTAGAACTTTGATTTGAATAATACAAAACATGATTACCAAAAAAAAACCTAGAAGGTCTCTAAATACATTTGTACACATTCTCTCAAAAAAGTAGCAACCTTAACGTTGTAGTTATTGATTACACAAAAACCTAGTTCTTCATCTTCTAACTTATCATGTGACCCGATCAACTAACGAGTAGTGGTGCCTTATGTTGTAAACACTCTCTATTTCCAAACAGTAGCAGCCTCAAAGTTGTGGTTATTGATTATACAAAACCTATTTCTTCATCTTCTATCCTTTTACTAGTCCTCCGACCAGATAAACTAACTAGAAGAGGCGCCTCATGTGCCTCTGTTGCAGTCTTTTTTGTCTCCCCATGTCCTTGTTGGCGAAGCATATACAAGACTTCCTTCATGGTAGGTCTGTTACCAGGTAGTGTGTTAGTACACATTAGCCCTAGCTTGAACACTGTTGTCATCTCCTCTATGTTGGAAGGCTCTTTGATGTCCTCATCGAAAGCCTCTTCGATTGGTTTACCAGATTGGTAATGTCTCCATGACCAATCTGCCAAGTTTGTATGTTCGTCTCCATTGTTTCCTTCTCTTCCAGTCACTAGCTCTAGCAAAACTACCCCGAAGCTGTACACATCTATCTTTTCATCCACCTTTGATGTATATGCATATTCTGCAACATAAAGATGTTAGAGATCACACAATGATATGGGACTGGATTTTTTTTTGTCCTAATTCGGTTTTAGGTTTGGTTCGGCTGTCAGTTGCTTTGATTTTCTTAAATATTTATATAACTAAACCAAACCAAAAACTCAAACCGATCTAACCGAATTTAACTGAAGTTAACTAAATTTATCCAAAATTTTAACAAAATTAAACCAAAATCTAATGGAAATCAAAAACTTATGTAGAATTTCAAAAACAGAACTAACCGAACCAAACTTTACTAGATTAATTTAGTAAGATTTATGTCTAAACCGAGCTAATCGAAAACCAAACTACCCGAAACGAATAAACCAAACTAACCGAATCCGCAGACCTACAATGATATATGCAAGACCTTAATCTATGTATCTTTATTAGTTTAATTTAGTAAGATTTATGTCTAAACCGAGCTAAGCGAAAACCAAACTACCCGAAACGAATAACCCAAACTAACCGAATCCGCAGACCTACAATGATATATGCAAGACCTTAATCTATGTATCTTCGACATAGAATCAGATTTGATGGGTCTGTTTGAAGAATGTTTTTACAAGTATTACCTGGAGCAATGTAACCAAAGGATCCAGCAACAGCTGACATGGTATGAGGCTCTTGGTTCTGCTTAACCAACAATTTAGCCAACCCAAAATCCGCAATCTTGGCGTTGAAAACATAATCAAGCAAGATGTTACTCGACTTGACATCTCTGTGTATGATCGCAGGAGTACAATCATGATGCATATAGCAAAGCCCTTGAGCTGCTCCCACCGCAATATTCAACCTCTGAGCCCAGCTCAAACTATTATCCTCTACAGTTCCTCTCTTCTTCTTACCATGTAGCCATTGATCCAAGCTGCGTTTCTCCAGATACTCATAGACCAGAAGCTTTGAATCCTCTCTCGAAATACAACACAGTAGTTTCACTATATTCGCGTGCCTGATCGTTCCAAGAATCTCAACTTCAGCTAAGAACTCCTTCTCTAGGTTCTTGTCAAGTTTCTTCTTGTTCCATATCTTCTTCACCGCTACGTATTCTCCAGAGCTTTCGATGAAGATCTTGTAGATTTTTCCCGACCCGCCACTCCCGATCACATTCTGTTCCATCAAGTTTGAAACGATGTCGGAATCTACAAAATCTACTCTGTGAAAGGAAGTTAGCTTCCACGTCTCTAACCCTCTTCTCCTTCTTCGTTTCCTTGTGTAATCCCTAACCACAAAGAACGTTCCAAGAAGAGTGATGACAAGGAGGAGAATTGCAATTACCAGAATCATCGCGAAGATGTTTCCAGGCAACCCTTTTGATCCCTGTCTCACTTTCCGACAATCAGGTAAGTTAAGAACAGGCTTGTCCGCACAGAGATTTGTGTTGTTAAAGAAACTTCTCTCGTAAGCAAGATTATCAAGCTGGTCGGGGACTTCTCCTGTAAGCCTGTTCGACGACAAGTTAAGCGTCGTGAGCTTCAGATTCCCGATCTCCGGCGGGATCACGCCGGAGAATCCATTCTCCGATAAATCAAGATTCAGCAGATGCGGCAACGATCCTAAACCTTTCGGAATCTTCCCGGAGAGTTTGTTCTTGGATAAGTTTATCGTCGTCAACGACTTCCACGAGATGATCTCGTCAGGTAACTCACCGGAGAGACTGTTCCCATCAAGAAAGATTGAAATGAGATTATCAAGAGATGTTAACTCCGTCGGAATCTCACCGGAGAAGCCATTGTTTCCGGCTTTAAACTCAGCTAAAGAAAACCAAGAACCGATAGTTCTCGGAATCTCGCCAGAAAACTCATTGTTATCTATCTCAATCCTAGAAAGATTCCACGCCACTCTCTCCGGTAACGTTCCGGTGAAGGAGTTGTTACTCACCTGTACGCTGTACATATGTGGAAGACTCCAGATCCGGGGAGGAAACTCGCCGGAGAAGTTATTGTTCTGCAGCTGAACCGTGAGGAGAGTGTTACAGTCTCCGAGAGACTCTGGAACTGCTCCGGTGAGTTTGTTTGAGTACACAACAACGCCGAGAAGACGACCTCCGTTGCAGAGATTCTCCGGTAGCTTTCCGGTTAAGTGATTCTCCGATACTTCGAAACTCTCGAGATTTGAATTTAAACCGAGATCAACCGGTATTTCTCCGGTTAATTTATTAGTGAAGAGTTTTAAATCCTTTAATCTCGTTAATTTCGCGATAACCGAAGGGATTACTCCGGTTAAGTGATTATTAAACAGGTTTAGATACTCTAATTTCTTGAGATTACCGATTGATTCCGGTATAGAACCGGTTAAGTTGTTGGCCGAGAGATCAAGCTCTACCAAGTTCGTCGCGGTAATAGATTTCGGTATCTCACCTGTTAACTCATTAGCGTAGAGAAACAGATCCGTTAGATTCCTCAACCCGAAAAGCCCGTCCGGTACCCGACCCGTTAGTTTGTTAACAGATAAATCCACGTGTACGAGATCCGTCATGTTTTCAAATCCAACGGTCGAGATCTCCCCGATCAGATTCATCTCCTCCATCCACAAGAACCTCAGCTTCCTCAACCTCCCGAACTCCGCCGGGATCTCCGCCGGGAGAAACTTATCGTTGTACGCCATACGAAGCTCCTCGAGCTCCGATAAGTCTCCGATCTGCCGCGGGAACGTCCCGTCGTACTCGCTCTGGTAGAGATTCAGGACCTTGAGGCTCGAGAGGCGTCCGATCGTCTCCGGGATGTCGCCGGAGAATCCGGTGGCTCCGAGGTCGAGATACTCGAGGCGCGGCGAGAGGCGGTGGATATCGGCGGGGAGCGAGCCGTTGAAGTTGTTCTGGG